TATATTGTCTGATTCTGGTAAGAGAACGATGTCAGAAAATTGAGAACGATAAATGTAACCTGGAGTTGTAGACATGCATTGTTGGTCAATTTTGAGAATTTGGTTCGTACATGAGTTCAATTACACAGTCATGTTCATCTCGCTTACGCCAACAGAGAACTTCATCCAACGATGGGGTACCCACTACATAAAATCAGCGAAATTCGGAGGCCAGCTGCAAATAAGAAAAACTATGGAAGCGTCCCAAGTGGCATCAAAACATGCATTCGCAGAAAAAATGGAGATGGAATTTAGATTTTTATTTGCAAGTGCTGGGGCCAAGTCAAGTACTGAAGGAGGTCAAGAAGCAAAAGCCCAAAACAAATTCACTTCCACTTCAGTTATGGCACAGGGTGGGAGCCAAGAGATTGCAACCATTCTCTCAGATGTGTACTCGCCAACGTTCAAGTCGAGTTTAAGGGAATGGCTGCAGAGTATTCCAAATTATCCCAAGGCTTTCCGTTTTTTGTTGGGATCGATAGTTGACCTAGTTAATTTCCGTGCAAACGATTTGTTTTCTGCAGACGACGTCGACTGGGGATGCGAGGGGAATGTAAAAAATATTGTAGAAGAAACAAGAGGGGAGACAACTGAAAGGTACTACACGGTGACAAATGCTGATGGAAGAGTCAAGAAGTTCTATTGCCCTTTTCAAGACCGGGAAGAATTGGATGTTGCTTTGAGGAGAAGGCGTTCCAGTCTCAACAGGGCTATCGAGATTTTTATGGCCGAGGTGTGTTAAAGTAGAACTCTTAAAATAATGAAAAAAGGGCTACAGAATCAATGAATAGCTAGAAACTACGGACTGTGTTCGTAGAATTCGTCATATTACTCATTGATCATTTTTTTCTCAAAGAATATTGACTACGAGGTGATTAGCATAAAGTTTAACCGCTGTGTTTTCTGGGAAAAGAAAAACACTGACTTAAGTTCATGGTACTATCACCGCTGTCTCAATGCCCCTATGATCACTTTCGATGGAAAAGGCAGAATCCCTGAAAGCCATTGGGAACGTCATGGCTCACCGTTGTTCTAACGGAGTGAAAAACAAGCCTTTGGCTGACAATTGTTAGCTCTACCGCAGCTACACTGTCAGACGTTCGACTGTTATTAAATCGGCCAGACCTGCAGACTCATTCCTTTACGTACTAGATACTTAAAGACTATAAAAATAATTTATTTTGAATGACATATATATTTGTTCTGCTTAGGGCCCGATATCTGTTTCTGATATGGTGATTTCAAAGTGCACACAGGAAGACAAAACTACTGAAGTCAACGATGGCTTTTTTCTCAATACCCGTGTTCCAAAGTGGAAAGAAATCTTACAAGAAAACTCGATCCTCACAGTTAAATTTGATATGGAGACCGATTTGGCCCGTGGGGTAGACGGTTTGGGAAAAATCGAGAAAAACATGACCCGAGAAGTTAAATTTACTGGTGGTAGATGGTTCACTGCTGATGAGTACGGCAAGTTCCACCTGTACAGTGGATATCGTAACGGAAAGAGCGGTGAGCTGAGGAACCACAAGTTATCCATATTTGGTCTTGTCCTAAGTTATAATTCAAAATATGGAAGCTTGGATCTTATCGAAGAAGACTTCAATGAATCTAAACGGACTTATCCAACCTTAAGAGAGGAAATGATTGGATTTCCACTAGCACACCTGACTGTGACGCAATCGAATTCTTTCCACGATTCAGTTAAACGAGGGTCTGCGCCCTCATCTGCAGTGACACCGTGTAATGTAAAATGGTCCAACGCCTTGCGGCTTGACCCAACAACGACTGGTGGCCGCTGCCTTCATTTCACTGCCTCTTCTGCTGGCGATTTCTTTGTTGTTTTCGCAACAATACCGAGTCGGCGCAGCTCTTGGTATTATGTGCAGATTGGAGTCAGAAAAGTTGCAATTTATAAGGTCTATAAATGTTAACTGAAAGTGTGTGACACATTTTGATTTGTGTACGTTGATAATCATTTGTCAGCAACAATCTTAGACTTTGACTATATTTTTACTTTTAGGGAGAGAGGGAAGTTACATCAACGTCAGACACTGGATCTGTGTCTATCGGAGATGCATTGCTGTACCAGTCATACTTTGTTTGCCTTTATGAAAAGC